AACACATTGGGAGGGATCTCAGACCATTCCTTCATACAGAAACTTTCCAGGACCTTGATATCCTTCAACTGTACATACCCACTGTCAATTCAACGTCTATTCCACGTTGGTTCAATGTAATTTCATTCAAATGACGTGTAAACAACGTTGATTCAACCAGTGTGTGCCCAGTGTGTATGGACTGCCCTCTTCAATTAAAACCACAGGTTTTCAGTGTGGTTCAAGTCCGGATACTGAGATGGCATTGCAAAATGATGATTTTGTGGTCAATTTACAATTTCTTCGTTGAATTTGATTAGTGCTTGGGGTTATTGTCTTGCTGGAAGATCCACTTGTGGCCTACTGTTTACACGGTAAACAAGTGTGGTGTTTGCATTTCCACATAGTTGATTTGACAGAACAAAAATGTAAAATAACGGTTAGGAGAAGGAATCATAAATCTAAATGTATGTAAATGAACACAGTTGCTTTTTTTTCTTCTTGTTTGTTTGTGGTATTTTATCCCTTGCTGAGAAAACAGGTTCAAACCTTGCACCTAGTAAACCTGTTACTTCTCTCTTTAGGGACCTGGGCTGAAGACCCTCCAATAGACCAGTAAGGCTTGAACAGAGGTTCGGTGTGTCTGGCTGTTGCAGAACCCCCAGATCAATTCAAACAAATTAAATGGATGTTCCAAAATGATGTAATAGTTAATGTAATAGTTAAGACATCTCTCCTAAATACAAGGAGAACGTGGATTATAACCTAGCGAACCACTATCTCTACACAAAGGCTGTGTTTATCCAGGCAGCCCAATTCTGATATTTTTTCCACTAATTGGTCTTTTGAACAATCACATCAGATCTTTTCAAATCAGATCTTTTCAAAGCTGATCTGCTTTGTCAAAATACCAATTAGTGAAAAAAATTATCAGAATTAGGTTTTAAAAAATCTGACTGAAAAATACAGGGGACCTTGCTTAGTATTTGTTGGAAAATGGACCGTATCAACTGATGGGTACAAAGTAACAATACAAGGTGAGTATTTTGCTGTGTGTGTGTGTGTGTGTGTGTGTGTGTGTGTGTGTATGTGTGTATGTATGTGTGTGTGTGTGTGTATGGACATGTTTACTATTCTTGTGGGGACCAGAAGTCCCCATAAGAATAGTAAACAAACAAACATTTGACCAACTGGGGACATTTTGTTAGTCCCCACAAGGTCAAATGCTATTTCTAGGGGGTTTAGGGTTATGGTTAGATTTAGTGTTAGGGTTAGTAGCTAAGGTTAGTTTTAGGGTTAGGGTTATGGTTAGGGAAAATAGGATTTTGAATGGGACTGAATTGTGTGTCCCCACAAGGTTAGCTGTACAAGACTGTGTGTGTGTGTTACCTCTCAGGTATAGGTGAGAAGGAGGGGGAAGCTTCAGCATCACCAGTTGGTACCATTGTGGGCAGTGTTATTGGGGTGTTCTTCTTCGTTGGTGTGTTAGTTGTTGTAGGATGGATCATATCTGCCAAAACACCTTCATCCACTAAAGAAGAACAGCTACTGCAGATACCCTCTCTGACAATTATATATTTATGTTTCCACAGGATTAAAAAAAAGTGATAATTTACCAGTTGTGATTTCTCATCTCCTAACAGGTTGTTGTTCCAGAAGTTGACAACCCAGTGAATGTTCCAGCAGGTGAGAGGATAGAACCACAGAGCCCTTCTGAGGCAGAACCACATCAGTGTTCTATAGTATTGTGCAGCACCGTGCAGAAACCAGCTGCAACACACCGCCATCAAGTGGACAAAGACTGGAATAACTACAACAAAGCAGACAGTTTACTGGACAACGGGAGATATATTACCCCTCCATACCTTTCCATAGCTAGGATTCCATTAATGTGTCCATTTATCTTTTGTTAACATTTATCAAGTTTGCATAGAAAATAGATGTGACAATAGAGGAGGTCCATTAAGATGGAGGCCTCGATGCACTTACCACACATTCTTTGTTTGGCTAAGTTCTGCGTATTTTACATTGCTCTCCGTTAATATTTCTTTGTATGTTCATTAGCACAATATACATATCAATTTTAGCTTCAAGACGCCGCCAATTTGAAAAGTAGATTGTGCTTTATTGGCACATTGAACCATGTCATGCGCCGTAATTTAAAAACTCAATGGATAATACTAAAACAGTGATGTCATATCTGAATTCTGCCATATTTATGCACATGCGCCATTACCTGCTACAGTGCATTTCCATTTAAATGACTTGAGAAGTAATTGATTGAATTATTGAATTGGACCCAATCAATCAACCAACCAACCAACCAGTCATCTGAGTATATCATTATTTTTCTATAATAGTTTTTCTAATATATACTGTATGTCTAATTATTAATAAGATAAGGCATATTAAAAAATCTCAATTTCAGTAACTGATGTCACATCCAGATGGTTTTATGGAGAACTACAGAGGTAAGACAGTCAATTATAGCTAAAAGCAAAATAATTTAGGAATAATGTCAACAAACCAGACACAGTGTACTGCAAAATAGGATTCAAATACTACTAAACTACCTCCATCCCTCTCAGGACCCCCTACTAACTACATCCTATCCCTATCAGAGAATCCTACTAAACTACCCTCCATCCCTATCAGAAGGAACCCCCCTAATAAACTACCCTCCATCCCTTCAGAGACCCCCTACTAAATACCCCCATACTCTCAGAGACCTCCTACTAAACTACCCTCCATCCCTCTCAGAGGGATCTCCTACTAAAATACCCTCCATCCCTCTAGACCTCTACTAAATCACCCTCCATCCTCTCAGCGACCCCACAACTGCACCTCCTCCCTCAGAGGTACCCCTTACCAACTACCCTCCATCCCCCTCTCAGAGACCCCTTACTAAACGACCCTCCATCCTATCAGAGACACTTGATAAACTACCCCTCCATCCCTCTCAGAGACCTCCTACTAAAAACTCCCTCCATCTCTCAGAGAATCCCTACTAAAACTACCCTCCATCCCTCTAAGACCTCCTACTAAAACTACCCTCCACCCTCTCAGTAGACCCCCACTAAACTACCCTCCATCCCTCTCAGAGACCCCCTACTAAACTACCCTCCATCCCTCTCAGAGACCCCCTACAAACTACCCTCATTCCCTATCAAGACCCCTACTAAACTACCCTCCATCCCTCTCAGAGACCCCCTACTAAACTACCCTCCATCCCTCTCAGAGACCCCCTACTAAACTACCCTCCATCCCTCTCAGAGACCCCCTACTAAACTACCCCTCCATCCCTACTCAGAGACCCCCTACTAAAATACACTCCATCCCTCTCAGAGACCCCCCTACTAAACTACCCTCCATCCTCTCAGAGACCCACTACTAAACTACCCTCCATCCCTCTCAGAGACCCCCTACTAAACTACCCTCCATCCCGCTCAGAGGACCCCCCCTGGGGGGTGGGGGCCCCCTAAACTACCCTCCATCCCTCTCAGAGACCCCTACTAAACTACCCTCCATCCCTCTCAGAGACCCCCTACTAAACTACCCCTCCATCCCTCTCAGAGACCTCCATACTAAACTACCCTCCATCCCTCTCAGAGACCCCCTACTAAACTACCTCCATCCCTTCCAGAGACCCCCTACTAAACTACCCTCCATCCCTCTCAGAGACCTCATACTAAACTACCCATCCATCCCTCTCAGAGACCCCCTACTAAAACTACCCTCCATCCCCTCAGAGACCCCCCTACTAAACTACCCTCCATCCCTCTCAGAGACCCCCTACTAAACTACCCTCCATCCTCTCAGAGACCCCCTACTAAACTACCCTCCTTCCCTCTCAGACCCCCTACTAAACTACCCTCCATCCCCTCTCAGGACCCCCTACTAAACTACCTCCATCCCTCTCAGAGACCCCCTACTAAAACTACCCCCTCCCTCTCAGGACCTCCTACTAAACTACCCTCCTCCCTCTCAGAACCCCCTACTAACTCTACCCTCCATCCCTCTCAGAGACCCCCTACTAAACTACCTACATCCCTCTCAGAGACCCCCTACTAAACTACCCTCCATCCCCCTCTCAGAGACTCCGTAGTTACATTGACTAAGACTTGACATACTCTGATACCGAACCGCAAATATAGAAAATTGCGAACATAAAACATTTAGATCTTGAAATGTTTATTTATTACTTCATGTCTAGACCTGCACATAAAAATACATCTATAAAAACAGCTGAATTGCTGAATCCCATTGTTACAAATAAATCTATAAAAACAGCTGAATAAATGAATCCCATTGTTAGAACCCATCTCCAACAAACAAGTTACATATTCCTGGAAAGAAGGTTGAGATAGCAGGCTAAACCATACAGGATAAACCATGCATCCTAAACCATCCAGGCTAAACCAGTAAATAAGATCTTTACAATAATAATAATAATAATAATAATAATAATAATTTCTCTAGTACTACTGTATATCTAATTATTTACTAAAATGCACTAACTGTAAGTCACTCTGGATAAGAGTGTCTGTTAAATGACTAAAATGTCAAATTTAAAATGTTACATGAGAAAGCATATTTACAAATATGAATAGAAAAGTTCAATTCAATTTAGCAGGATCGGTCACATCCAGCTGGTTATGTGGAGGAACTAATCAAAAGGTAACAATGGTGCTCTCCCAGAAGCTTGGCTGGTGTGTAAAATCCACGAATTCAGACAAACAAAAAGCTCTGAAGCTAGTCCTCTGCATTAACCCAAATGATACATTATGGCTCGATTTCGTGGACACCGTGTCTAGGCAACTGGTCCTACATACTACCCAACAATGAGGTGTCTTGTGCTGGTTACTCGTTCAATACACTATATTTTGCAATACTATGGAATGGCTGCATGACTTCACAGACTGAACGACTCTCACAGATTCTCTTAGATGGTTTGGCACATGGAAAGTCAAACCAACAATTGTTATCTCTGTAACAGTGTTGACCATTTCGGACACAGTTTTCTATGTCACCTTTAGGCCCACGGTTATTTGGTTCGTTGGAGTCCCAGTACCTAGAAAAGGGAGAAGGGAAACCATTACTCCATACAGTATGTCACAGCAGAAGGAAAACATATATATTTAGAAAATAAAGACAAATGGCATGGACTTAAATGATTAGCCCCCTGGAGCTAATACTTGGTAGCAGAGTTTTTGGCCAAGATAACTCCCGACAAATGTTTCCTGTAGCCGTCAATGAACTTTCTGAACCTTTCTACTGGCAATTTGGCCCAATTTTCAGCAGCAAACTGCTCTAATTCTTCAATGTTTGAGGGGTGCCTTCCACCAACTGCTGTTTTCAGCTCTCGCCATAGATTATGGATATGATTCAGATCTGGACTCTTCACTGGCCACAAACAAACAAAACACATTTGATCTCTGTGTTTACCGATGACCAAATGAAGCATTCAATTAAAGAACACCATCCCTACAATCAAACATGGGGAGGTTTGATAATGCTGTGGGGTTGCTTTGCTGCCTCTAGTACTGGGGGTCTTGAACGTGCGCAAGAAATCATGAAATCAGCAGATTGGAGTCCAGTGTTAAACCCAGTGTCCAAAACTGTGTCTCCATTGAAGGTTGTGGGTCCTCCAGCAGGACAACAACCCCAAACACACATCAAAAAGCACCCAGGAACGGTTGAACAAGAATCACTGGACTGTTCTGGAGTGGGCAGTGATGAGTCCAGATCTGAATCACAGCCCAAATCAATGGTGAGATCTGAAAACAGCAGTTGGTGGAGGGCACCCCTCTAACATTGAAAAATTAGAGCAGATTGCTGCTAAAGACTGGACCAAATTTACAGTAAAAAGTTCCTTAAGTTTACAAAAATGTAATTGGTTCTGCAATGTTGAAAAGCCAATAGAAATGTGTGGATATCAAACTTTTTTTTCTATTTCAACTTATTTGAGAAGAAATAGGGAATTATTTAATAAAAGTGCAAGAGTGCCAATATATTTGGCCACAACAGAACTATGTATACAATGTTTTGCTTTTTAGTGTACAGCTGAGTTGTCTTTGTGTGTGTATGTTTGTGTGAGCATGCGTGCTTACCTGTGTGTGTAGATGTGTGCAAATGTACAGTCGTGGTCAAAAGATGAGAATTACACAAATATACATTTTCACAAAGTCTGCTACCTCAGTTTTTATGATGGCAATTTGCATATACTCCAGAATGTTATGAAGAGTGATCAGATGAATTGCAATTAATTGCAAAGTCCCTCTTTGCCATGAAAATGAACTTAATCCCCCAAAAACATTTCCACTGCATTTCAGCCCTGCCACAAAAGGACCAGCTGACATCATGTCAGTGATTCTCTCGTTAACACAGGTGAGAGTGTTGACGAGGACAAGGCTGGAGATCACTCTGTCATGCTGATTGAGTTAGAATAACAGACTGGAAGCTTTAAAAGGAGGGTGGTGCTTGAAATCATTGTTCTTCCTCTGTTAACCGTGGTTACCTGTAAGGAAACATGTGCCGTCATCATTGCTTTGCACAAAAAGGGCTTCACAGGCAAGGATATTGCTGCTAGTAAGATTGCACCTAAATCAACCATTTATCGGATCATCAAGAACTTCAAGGAGAGAGGTTCAATTGTTGTGAAGAAGGCTTCAGGGTGCCCAAGAAAGTCCAGCAAGCGCCAGGACCGTCTCCTAAAGTTGATTCAGCTGCGGGATCGGGGCACCACCAGTGCAGAGCTTGCTCAGGAATGGCAGCAGGCAGGTGTGAGTGCATCTGCATGCACAGTGAGGCAAAGACTTTTGGAGGATGGCCTGGTGTCAAGAATCACATCAGGGACAGACTGATTTTCTGCAAAAGGTACAGGGATTGGACTGCTGAGGACTGGGGTAAAGTATTTTCTCTGAATCCCCTTTCCGATTGTTTGGGGCACCCGGAAAAAAGCTTGTCCGGAGAAGACAAGGTGAGCGCTACCATCAGTCCTGTGTCAGGCCAACAGTAAAGCATCCTGAGACCATTCATGTGTGGGGTTGCTTCTCAGCCAAGGGAGTGGGCTCACTCACAATTTTGCCTAAGAACACAGCCATGAATAAAGAATGGTACCAACACATCCTCCGAGAGCAACTTCTCCCAACCATCCAAGAACAGTTTGGTGACGAACAATGCCTTTTCCGGCATGATGGAGCACCTTACCATAAGGCAAAAGTGATAACTAAGTGGCTAGGGGAACAAAACAGACATTTTGGGTCCATGGCCAGGAAACTCCCCAGACCTTAATCCCATTGAGAACTTGTGGTCAATCCTCAAGAGGCGGGTGGACAAACAAAAACCCACAAACTCCAAGCATTGATTATGCAAGAATGGGCTGCCATCAGTCAGGATGTGGCCCAGAAGTTAATTGACAGCATGCCAGGGCGGATTGCAGAGGTCTTGAAAAAGAAGGGTCAACACTGCAAATATTGACTTTGAATAAACTTAATGTAATAAAAGCCTTTGACACTTATGGAATGCTTGTAATTATACTTCAATATACCATAGTAACATCTGACAAATATCTAAAAACATTGAAGCAGCAAACTTTGTGAAGACCAATACTTGTGTCATTCTCAAAACTTTTGACCACGACTGTATGCCTTAAAAACATCCTTACTTGATGTTCTCATTAAGTTGTATTGTCCATCCAGACCCACACTTTCTCTTGCTTCTCATCTGTCAGTCCTATCCAGGGGCTGTGTTCATAAGGATCAATTCCCAGTGTTACCACTCTCTGTTTTATAAACTCCTATGGGAGGAAACCACACGTTAATCAACCAATGGACCAATGGTTCTCATCCTGATGAAAGCCTTGATAGGCTGAACATTTATTTTTGTATACTATTCTAAATAAAGTATATTTTTAACTTGAAGAGCGAGAGCCCCGTCTGCTTTCCACTAAAGTCAACCAATGGAGACAGACATACAAAGCACAGAGAGACACTAAAAAAAGGCTGTACCTAACTTGAAGTCTGCACTTTATGTGAGAGTCTTAGCAATTAATTATTGCAACTCCAACCTTACCTGCTCCTGACTACTCTCTATGATGACCAGGTGTCCTCCATCGCGGATGCAGGCGTACTGACTCTGTTCCCAGGTCAGTTTGTCTTTAGAGAAGTAGTAACATGATCCATTGTAGAACTCCCAGCCAGGAGAACATGGCTTCCTATCAGCATTACATTCCTTCTGATTCCCTAGAAGAGAGAAGAGAACATATAATTGAAATTTGATGACATTCAGTTCTATATCCTGTGATGTTCTTGTTAAATGTGTGTGTCCCTTTAAGAGAGCACAAAAGTTGTGGGCTAAGGGAGAGATAACCTGAAAGAGAAAGGACATAACTGGAATGGGAAGGACGGCTCATAATAATGGCTGGAAGGGAGTAATTGGAATGGGATCATGCACATGGAAACCATGTGTTTGATGTATTTGGTACCATTCCACCAATTCCGCTCCAGCCATTACCTTGAGCCCGTCCTCCCCAATTACGGTGCCACCAACCTCCTATGGTCTAAATACCAATTAGTGGGAAAGAAGATCAGAATTGGGCTGACTTGGTAACAAGCTGAGGAACAGCTCCACCACATATCCTATAATTGAACTACTGGCCATAGGACATCCACGCTCATTCTGTCATAGGTTAGAGTACATGGTTGTGACTAGATTGAGTACAGCTACGGACGAGATTTACCATTGAACACTGCGAGAGTTTGGAATTGCGTTTTGAAGCCAGATGATGAGTCGGAGTCGGATATCGCTTAGATTTTCTCAAAGTAAAAATGAATTGTTTCACTGGCGATTCTTTATTTTTAATGAAATATCAATGAACTGTTGCTTGTATGCATAGACACTGCTTCACAATGCTAGCTAAATCAATATCGATGTAAACAGTAGTGTATAATGCATTTAATAATATACATCCTATCATTCCGGTGGAGTTGGGAAATAAACTATAACGTTTCAAATAAATTGCCAGTGCACAGATACAATATAACCTAGCCAATTTGTCCTGCTAAATGCCAATGCATCCTAAATGTGGTCTTTTCAAATTGATACTCTGTACATATTGACCACCAGCTATCTGCACATTGCTGCCCTACCTCTAGCTAGCATCTAGCTAACATCTAGCTATCTATCGCCATAGCAACAAAAAGTTATATCCTACTCTGAGTCGTTATCTGGCTTCAAAACTTATGTCCAAACTCTCGCAGTAGTTAAATGGTAAATCCATAGGTATAAGAATGATTATATTCCATGAATCCATGATTCCATTCTTATTTGTATGGTAATCTCATTTGTAGCTGTAATCCATCTAGTCACAACCACAGTACATAGGGAGGATTGAACTGACCTTGGATGGTTGGCAGGAGATCTTTGACCCTAGTCAGGTTGGCCTTACAGTCTTGAAGCACTGAGGATAACAACTCTTTCTGGACTAAGAACAGAAGAGATTTACAACAAATTAGAATACAGTGTAGTTCTGTTGAATTAAGGCCATAATACAAAAGGTATGTAGTTGGCAAACAAAACATTTGAAGTATAAAATTACTTTCCAATGCACTTCACCACACTCATATGACTAAATTTCCATTAGGGCCAGGACTTTTCCCTGGTCAAGAAAAACCCATGTCCTTCCTCATATTCAGTACAATGATAGCATATACAATATTAAAACATGTTTTGGGGAAGCAATACTACTGCAGTGTAAATGTAATCCTAATCTTGATAACATGGAACTTTGTATTGAAATGAGAAGTTTTAGTTAAATTGGGTTCAACTTCCCCTTTACATTAGTATGTCAAATCAAATCAAGTGTTATTAGTCACATGCGCCGAATACAACTGGTGTAGACTTTACCGTGAAATTCTTGCTTATGAGCCCTTCCCTAAAATGCAGAGTTTAAAATAAAAACAAAATAGTAACACAAGAGGAATAAAATAAAATACAAAAGAATGGAGCTATATACAGGGAGTACCAGTATCAGATCAATATGCTGAGGTATTTGAGGTAGATATGTACATGAAGGCAGGGTAAAGTGACTAGGCATCAGCATAGATAATAATAAGAGTAAAATGAAGAACAGAGTAGCAGCAGCAGCAAATTATGAGTATAAAAGTGTGTGTGTAATGTGTATGTATGTGTGTTTGTGTTTTGTCGGTCTGCGTGTGTGTGTTATGTTTGTGTGTGTGTGTGTATGTAGTGTATGTGAATGTGGGTCAGTCGTGGGTGAACAGGGAGTACAGGAGGGGACTAAGCACACACCCCTGAGGGGCCCCCGTGTTGAGGGTCAGCGTGGTGGAGGTGTTGTTGCCTACCCTCACCACCTGGGGCCGGCCTGTCAGGAAGTCCAGGATCCAGTTGCAGAGGGAGGTGTTCAGTCCCAGGGTCCTTAGCTTGGTAATGATATTGGAGGGGACTATGGTGTTGAACGCTGAGCTGTAGTCTATGTACAGCATTCTCACATAGTTATTTCACCTCTTGTCCAGGTGGGAGAGGGCAGTGTGAAGTGCAATTGAGATTGCTTCATCTGTGGATCTGTAGTGTATGTGAATTGGTGTGGGTCTAGGCTGTCTGGGATGATGGTGTTAATGTGTGTCATGACCAGCCTTTAAAAGCACTTCAATAATTACAGATATGTTATGACAATATTGTGATATGAATAGGAGAACAGCAGCTAGTCAGTCCCATGTCAGTAGAGTCCTGCTCTAGACTACCTACCTGTTATGTTGTGGCTCTCATTCTGCAGTCTCTTATAGTTGTCTTGCAGTTCATGCAGTTTCCCTGTTATGAAAGAGCAAATAATACGGATGAATAACATTCATTTATTTACATATCTAACAATAAAGTAAGTAAGTAAGCCTTGTCCAAGCTAGAATGACCTATTATCTAACCATAGTCATATTAAAATTAAATCATATTTTATTTATCTATTACAGTGAAACAGCAGTATTTTAATCTTAGCCAGTCCCCCATTGACAAATTCATCTTAATTTGTATTTATTTTTTACCCAGTTTTCTCCCCAATTTCGTCATATCCAATTGGTAGTTACAGTTTTGTCCCATCGCTGCAACTCCCGTACGGACTTGGGAGAGGCGAAGGTCGAGAGCCGTGCTTCCTCCGAAACATAACCCCGCCAAGCCGCACTGCTTCTTGACACAATGCATGCTTAACCCGGAAGCCAGCCACACCAATGTGTCGGAGGAAACACCGTACACCTGGCGACTGTGTCAGCGTGCATGCGCCGGGCCCGCCACAGGAGTCGCTGGAGCGCGATGGGACAAGGACGATCCGGCCGGTCAAACCCTCCCCTAACCCGGACGAAGCTGGGCCAATTGTACGTCGCCTCATTGGCTCCCGGTTGCGGCCAGCTGAGACACAGCCCGTTATCGAACCAGGATCTTAATGATTTATATGAAGGATTCTCTCCAAATGTATATAAGAAGTTTATAATGGTAAAGAGCTCTTGATCATTGATATTCTCACCTGTTAGATTCTCTTTCATCTGGTTAAAGCGAGCTTCCTCAGCATGAAGACTAGTCATGTTGGAAGCATCTGGAACAGAGACAAGGAGACAAGATGGAGGGTAGTTGTTTTTCTCTTCTGTTTCAGACTATCGTACCAACCGGAAATGTACTGGTCTGGGCTGGCTTGGATATTTTCTCTGCACATTGTCCTTTCCAGCAGAGTTCCAGGCCAGCAGCTATGGTGGATACGTAGTGTAAAAGGGTTCAGTAGTGTAAAAGGGTTCAGTAGTGTAAAAGGGTTCAGTAGTGTAAAAGGGTTCAGTAGTGTAAAAGGGTTCAGTATTGTAAAAGGGTTCAGTAGTGTAAAAGGGTTCAGTAGTGTAAAAGGGTTCAGTATTGTAAAAGGGTCAGGGTTCAGTAAAATGGTTCTCTACTCACAGAGGACTCCCAGAGTGATAGCCAGGCCCAGCAATAGAACACAGAGACACACTAGGGTCACCACAGGAACACTCCTAGACCCTCCCTCAGGGATTGCAGCCTTTGACCCCACTGAGGGAGAGGGGTCACTAGTGCCAGGTTCACTTCCTGGAAAAGGAGTCAGGGTCAGAGGTTATAAGGTCATAAGGTTAAATAAGGTGTACTTAATGTAACCCTTAGCTAACTGTAACACACACACACCTCACCTTTCCCAGGATCCTCCTGCTCTCTAGCTCTACCTCCTGGTCTTCTGACCTCAGAGTATGTGACATCCTCATCACCTTCCACTGTTCCTATGGTTACAGTAAGATGAAGTAAGAGATGGAGTTCCTTCTTTTGTCTCTATTGAGTGATTACATTATTTCACTAAAACCAACATGGTGATTACCACCTATTAGAAATGTCCCATTCTAGTTCCTATCTCTCACGATCCACTATCTCAACATTCTATAAGAAATGTACCATTCTATTTTCTCTCTCACGATCCACTATCTCAACATTCTATTAGAAATGTCCCATTCTAGTTCCTCTCTCTCACGATCCACTATCTCAACATTCTATAAGAAATGTCCCATTCTAGTTCCTCTCTTATAATCCACTATCCAAACATTCTTTCCTTTGAGCTGTACTAGGTCAGAGTCCCTTGACTGGAAGGTCCAACCTGCAAACCATTTCATTAACTGTTAGGGTAACTAACCAATCTAATATTCTAATTCAGCATATCTGAAGAAAAGCTAACTTATTGTCAAGAGAAATGAGGAAACCCTTTTGGCCATGAACCAAATGTTACAGGTTGATGCTGTCTTTCTGTCTGTATGTCTGTCTGGAAGTTGGTTCACAGTATGAAATCCAACAGACATGTCCAGAGTGTGACGAATAACAACTACTTTACATGGAACTGTCATCTTCTCATGCCCTTTACATTGCACTAATACGCTACATATCCTTCAAAACAGGATTCTATATGGAGAACCATTGTTGAGGCCCTATGGAATATATTCAAAAGGAAATGGACATGTCTGAAAGTCATTAATAAAACTAAAACATTTCACTATACATAATTATGCTATAGTACATTCTAAAAGAAATGCCTAGTGTCTCATACAATACCAGATGTTAAACATATAGTACTAATTCATATTTATCCTCAAGTACTGTTACAAACACACTTCAGAAATTCTCATATTGATCCCAACCAAAATATGCCTTCTTTTCCCTATAGCCCCTGGGTTTACACAGTTATTATTTGCGATACAACCATACAGTAAAACATCATCACTATAACTATAACCAGTTAATGAATAAACGTCTATATAGCCTTCTTCTGTTACTAACTCCTTGTTGAATTATGACATCTCAACCCTCGCCCCCCAAGGTGATGAAATGTTGTATTGTAAATGTATGTTTGAAAACTAATATAACGATATAAATGAGAGAATAAAGAGGAGAGACTCACCTTTAGAATCTTCACTTTCTGCTCCAGCATCTTGGTTCTGATGCCGAGTGAATGTAACATCGGAGTAGATGATTTCACCAGACATCATCACTACTCGGTCCTCTCTCAGAGTGGAGACCAGAAGAGGAAGAAGTCCCTTAACATAACACATGCTCACTCATGAAAATCCCATAAACACTCACACACTCAACCACACACACACACGTAGTACACAAACACAACTGTTACGGAATACACAGGATGTTATGCAAACAACATGCACACACACACACACGTCCAAGGAGAATGTTGAGTAAGGGGTGTTGAGGTGCAGTAAAAAACTAATATTCAGTTCCTATTTACCTCTGGGCTCCATTTGAATATGTGGTAAAGTAGAACTTCATTTGAATATGTTGTAAACTAGAACTTCATTTGAATATGTTGTAAACTATCAACCCTGTCATTGAACTGTATTACTGATGCCATCTCTAAAGGCATAGCCAAGACAGTTGACTTGTCATGCTCATTCAAACATGGCCTGTAGAATTTACAGTAGGTAGGATTCTAGCTAGCTGTAATTATATAGAGATATAACATTATCTGTCAGTTAAGTATCATTCATGATAGATGGTTAAAGAGAGACAGCAGATAATACATTATTTCTATATTCCTAATATAATATATAACATCATATATCATCAAATAATGTTTTATGATAATCATTTCATAATTTGACTCTTTTTGTGGGCTCTCTTGGAGGTCGATACTGACAGCTGAGGAAGAAACTGTTGTTTTCTGTGAATCTATTTGAATAACCGGTGACAGTTACACTATTCTCATATCTACATACTGTCTATGGAGCCTGTTGTCCAAGGCAGGTAAATGATGTGGTGAGGTGTGTTCAGATTAGGTATTCATCGTTTGATCCTTTTTCATAGTTTTAAAATGACCAAATATGAACCAATGTGTCTGAAACTCAATTACTACCACTACTACTACTACTACTACTACTACTACTACTACTACTACTACTACTACTACATTTACATTTTAGTCATTTAGCAGACGCTCTCATCCAGAGCTACTACAACCACTACTACTTTTATTATTACTACTGCTACTACCACTACTAATGCTACTACATTCACATTACATTTACTACTGTTAATATACTACTACCACCACCACTACTACAATTTTTTTTATTATTACTACTACTACTACTACTAATGCTACTACTGTTAATATAACACTACCACCACCACCACCACTACTACTACTACCGCTAATAATAATACTACTACAACTACCACTACTACCACCACCACAACTACTTTTATAACTACTACTGCTACTACCACTACTAATGCTACTACTGTTAATATACTACTACCACCACCACCACCACTACTAATTGTATTATTACTACTACTACTACTACTACTACTACTACTACTACTACTACTACTACTACTGCTACTACTACTACTACCACCACTAATGCTACTACTGTTAATATAATACTACCACTACCACTAATGCTACTACTGTTAATATAATACTACCACCACCACCACCACTACTACTACTACTCCTGTTAATATACTACTACTACCACCACTGCTACTACTTTTATTATTACTACTACTACCGCTACTACTACTACCACTACTACTGCTACTACTGTTAATATACTACTACCACCACCACTACTTCTACTATTATTATTACTACTGCTACTACTACCACTGCTAATGCTACTACTTTTAATATACTACTACTACCACCACTGCTACTACTGTATCACCATGTCCTACAATACATTTTACAAATAGCACAATAGCCCACTGTGTTATTCTAGCATGACTTGTACATATTGTGAATAATGGAACTGCTGAGACACCTAGAGGAATGTATTGGATGTACACTACAATATGCACAGACAGTGTCATATGAATGTTATGTGGACAACTGAGAATGTTATCCATTCAGTAAGATGGTTCTGGATCTCAACATGTCTTCTCCATGCAACACATTATAGTTTTTTCATCTGACAACAATATCATGACATTGGTGCACTGACTCACACCTCTTTTCGTTGTCATCAACAGTGGTAGTAACAGAGATGGAAGATGAAGCGAGACATCTGACTTGCTCCTTTTTTGTGGTTCTTATACAGTCAGTCAATGAATTAAGCAGACCAGACCCAGCTGCTATCGCATTGGTGTCTATGGGAGAGTCACTCCATAAAACTGCAATATGTAACTTTTTGGGCGACCCGACCACATTCACATAGAAATTTGAGTTATAGATATGTCATTGTAAATATGATTGTGTTCTTAACTGACTTGCCTAGTTAAATAAAGGTTAAATAAACAAACAAAAAACAAATTCTAATTGAAAGCATGTCTAAGAAGCGGTAGATCTGTTCTATGTGTCCTATTTCTATGCTTCCCATTCTTAAGTTTCTTTTTTACGTCTTTTACTTTCAGTTTCGTACACCAGCTTCAAACAGCTGAAAATACAATATTTCTGGTTATTGAAAATAGATTTCACAGCGGTTTAGATGGTACAATGATTTTTTACACTTGCTTGTTTTGTCACATAAACTGAAATTAGGCGAACTTTTAGAATTTTAGCAACCAGAAAATGGCTGAGCGATTTCTGCACCTTTAAAGGTTAAGCAGACCGGAAATGTGAAAAAATAAATTATATGGTAAAAGGCCTGAGTAAGACATAATTTATCCACCATCTGTGGTAGTAGTTTGCAGTGTGGCAATTCCACTCACAGGTTTGCTTAATTTAAGTACATCATGGGTCAGCAAAAGCTTCTGCAACATTATACATGATGTGGCTGAGAATGTGTTTCAGTTAAAAGAAGACACAGGTCTACACCAATTTCCCAAGAAGATTGTGTAGTGACCCTGGACAGCAAATAGCCTATGTTGGGACGAAGTGGACTCTCAGCTGCTCTCGTAATGAATGCACATATTTAATACCCCTTATAAATAGTTTGGCACATTCATGTTTTCAACATGTATGTATGAATTAATTTCTCCACATATATATTGTTGTGGTTTTCCAGTTTTATTTGAGTATTTACTGTGCGAGGAAATGTTTGGTAAAGTTATTGGCGCATTTCATTTTCATATTTAAATGCAGTCATTTACCTGCTTGCAATCCTCCTGTGATGAGGTGACGAACACCGAAGCCTGACTGTCACTCTCAGATGTGACGTACAGGGGCAAGGAGTCACTGACTGGAAATACACAATGCACAAGAATGGTAATTCTGACTCCGCCAGTAAGAAGAATGAACATGAGATCAGTGCTGCTAAGATTTCCGACAGTGTTGACAACCTATGTCTGGGTACACATATTGAGGAGCAGCAATATTCTGGGTGGAGTGATGTAGTCAGACTGACAGTGACAGGTAAGTCATCTTATGTCTCATTCACATCAGTGCCTCCATACTTATAACCACTTCATTGGGCCCCAATTTAAGGATGATATTTAGTTGTTTTAAAATTGTATGTTGTGTGTTTCTGCAGCTCTGCCCAAAGCTACACTGACAGCAGAGCCAAACCCTGTGTTCCCTGGAGAGACAGTTACTCTGACGTGTTCAGTAGGGTCTGACAGTAGCTGGAGCTATCAGTGGTACAAAGACAGGAATGATAATGTAGTATCCCAGTCTGTCAGACACACTATAACAGGAGACACCCTCACCATCAGTAGTGTTGCTGAGTCTGACCAGGGTCTCTACTGGTGTCAGGGAGAGATCCAGTCCAGATCCATAAAATCAACCATCGGTTATCCGGTCTGAGTCACCCTGAATGGTAAGTTACTTTGTTGTAATAGAAATGGACACTATTTATATTGAGTCCATCATGTAGACATGCTCTGTGTGTATGTACACTCCATCACCAAATGTATTTGGACACATTGAACATCTCATTCCAAAATCATGGGCATTATTCTGTAGTCGGTACTCGCTTTGTGCACGGGGACATTGTCACGCTGAAACAGAAAAGGGCCTTCCCCAAACTGTAGCCACAAAGTTGGAAGCACAGAATTGTCTAGAATGTCATTGCATGCTGTAGATTTAAGATTTCCCTTCACTGGAACTGAGGAGCCTAGCCCGAACCATGAAAAACAGCCCCAGACCATTATTCCTCCTCCACCAAACTTTACAGTTGGTATTCAGGAAGGTAGCTTCCCTGGCATCCGGCAAACCCAGATTTGTCCGTTGGACCCCCAGATGGTGAAGCGTGATTCATCACTCCAGAGAAAGCATTTCCACTGTTCCAGAGTCCAATGGCGGCAAGCTTTACACCAATCCAGCCAACGCTTGGCATTGTGCATTGTGATCTTAGGCTTGTGTGCGGCTGCTCGGCCATGGAAACCCATCTCATGAAGCTCCTGACAAACAGTTATTGTGCCAACATTGCTTCCGGCGGAGGTTTGGAACTGGGTGGTGAGTGTTGCAACCGAGGATAGATTATTTTTAAGCGCTACGCGCATCAGCACTCGCCGGTCCCATTCTCTGAGCTTGAGTGGCCTACCACTTTGCGGCTGAGCAATTGTTGCTCCTAGACATTTCCACTTCAAAATAACAGCACTTACGGTTTACCGGGGCAGCTCTATCAAATTTGACAAACTGACTTGTTAGAAAGGTGGCATCCTACAACGGTGCCATGTCGAAAGTCAATGAGCTCTTCAAATCAAATCAAATTTTATTTGCCACATGCGCCGAATACAACAGGTGTAGACCTTACAGTGAAATGCTTACTTACAAACCCTTAACAAACAATACATTTTTAAGAAAAAAAAAGTGTTAAGTACAAAATAGATAAGTAAAAAATAAAAATAAGAAATAATTAAAGAGCAGCAGTTGTGGTGTGAGTCTGGATCAGGAGAGTACAGTAATGCTGTCAACATCACAGTAAATGGTACATCTATTGTACAACACTCACTAACATTTCTACATATATATATTAGGATGTTCAAATCTGGAACTGAATGATTGCATCTCATAAATACAAGCTCATAAGATGTTGATGTATTGTGAGGGATGACTCCAGATTTACAGTATTATTTCTATATTATGTTACACAGATG